TGCTGTTATTCTGATTTTTGTACAATGAGGATGGTGGTTACAATGGACTTTTAACTGTAGGACTGTAGAACTGTCCTTAGAATGACAATTTACCAATGTGAGTGATGAATGTCCCAGAGAACAAGGGTCTGGAGGTAGATTTAGGGAATCCTCTTCCTTTTCTAGTTGAGGTGTCCTGTGATCCAACTTCCTGAGAGTCCAGGAGGCAGAAATATATTCCTTTTAGCATCTGGACCACTTGACCATATATTTAAAGATGACAGAACTAGTAGTTAGAAAATGTGCATGCAAAACAAGGATTGGGAAATCAGTATCAAAAGGATCTCATAGTACCTTTGAGACTTAGGTGCAACCATATTAACTTCCATCCAATGGAGTCCTGGGGTTTGTAGTTTGGTGTGAGGCACAAGAGCTCTCTGGGTGACAATTCTAGATATCTGAAAATCCCAGGATTCTTGTGAGATGTTGTGATGTTGCAAATGTCCTTCTGAATAAATCTTTCCATGAAACCACCCATAAGTCAGAGATGACTTGAAGTGATACACCAAATGAGGTCAGTGTAAAACAGTTCCATATTGAAATGAATTTGCTTAAGTTTCCTTTCTGACCCAGGCAAGTCCATTGGGTGCTGTTGAAATAATAGCTGGGAAATGACTTTGATTAATGGATTCCAAGCCTTCAAAATGGTGTTAAGGGACTAGAGAAATCAATTACCAGGGCAAAATGTAAAAAAGAGCAAAAGGATAGATATTTCTATTTGCATTTCTCCTTGTGCCTTTTGCTTTCTCACCCACCATCTAGATGTATACTATAGCCCCCTTCGGACAGAGGCCTGATCAATTTATCTATCCATCTAGTTATCCATGGCTTATGTTGATATTCAAGCCCCAATTAAGAATTGAAAGTATACTCACAGAATTGCTTGTCCTTGATGAGAAAAGGTATTTCAACACATCAGGGCATCTCAGTGAGAACATGAGATTATGCTCAAGTTTTGCCCTCCTTCTCCCTCAAAAAACAATTGCAGGGAGAAAAAGAAAAAGAAAAAAAGTAGGTTGGAATTCTGCTTGGCTCTTTGTCTTTGTAAATGGTCTTAGGTGTGAGTGAAACTGAACTGAGTAAATTTGCAACATCAATATTCACCAAAAGGTTCTGTGGCATCACAACATATGGACATTCATTGAACAATGGTAGTCAGTGGAGTGACTGATATATAATGGCCCAATGAGTAATGGATACTGCACATTGAGGCACTCCCTGATGCCCATCCAGAAACTCACTAGGAAGTGCTGGAGCATAAAGGGAGCACCTTCTGGGCATCGTATGTAGCCTGCTACACCCATGTCTATGATGTCCTGCCTTCAGTGTTCCCTCTACTCATATGGGCATGGTCATCTTTCTCATTCCCCACCACCACTACCAACAGTGGGGTGGTAGTGGGGATCTTGGACTTTTGTTGTTGTTGTTAACTGTCCTCATGTCTATCTTAACTCAGGGATGAGACATCTCTAAGACTCCCTGTCCTCCAATGCTCTGCTTAGTTTCTGCAAATTCACACATGTGACATCCTTAATCAAGTCCATCCACCTAGCATGCAGCCTTCCTCTCTTTATACTTCCCTCCACCTTCCCTAGTGTTATTGTCTTCTCTAATGAGTCCTCTCTTCTCTTGATGTGTCCAAAATACAACAGCCTAAGTTGTCATTTTGGCTTCCAGGGACATTTCAGGCTTTATCTGTTCTAGGACCCATTCGTTTGTCTTCTTGGCTGTCCATCATATCCTCAGCACTCTTCT